GGTCCTTGGACCTGATGGTGCCCCAGGGGGCTGCTCTGGCCAAGCCCCAGGTGCTCAGCCACGTCCACTACCACCACCACCAGCACCACCACTACAGGCAGGACTCAGAGTGTCTCCCTGGGCGAGCGGGGCAGGGGCCTGGGCCACGCAAATCCCGGTATTCCGGGGCCAAGGTTGCCCTCCACAGTGCTCGGACACAAAAGAGAACTGAGAAAAGCCATCACTCTCAGCAGCCTCTGGAAAGCAGTGCCATGCTGCAGGAGGCAGCTCCAGCAGGCCAGCCAGCCTGTCCCCAGGAAGGCCAGGAGCCCCGTCACACCCCCTCCACTTCTCCAAACAGGCTGGACTTCAGTGTAGATGCCAACAGACAATTGGGAGCTGTCCCACTGTCCCCCAGACACAGCTTACAGAGCAGGCATCACCGAAGGAAAAGAAAGTGTCCCCTGGAGCTGGACCCCGCTCTCCTGCCCAAGGACTTGGCCGAGCCCGGAGCCTGCGGCGCTCCCCTTCCTCCCGGCCATCCCGCTGGCTCCCGCTGCTCTCCCGAAGCCCAGCCCCTGATCCCAAGCGCTGCCCTGCCCAGCGGCTCCCAGCCCCTCTGGAAGTGTTTAGTGCCACAGCCCAGCTCTGAGCTGAGGAAGCAGGAGCAGAGGTTGTCAGGACGGGAGAGAAACCGCTCAGTTCCTGCGGATGTCTCAGGGACGTGCACCCCCAGGCACAGTCTGAGTGTCCGCCTTCACTGCCCGTCTCAGCAGGGTGGTCAGGGTAAGTCTGCTCTTCGCCTCTCCTGGCAGCAAGCAGGTGAAGGAGGAGGGGGTTTGCTGAAGGAAATCCAACTGCCAGGACACCTGGTACCTTCCTGATGGGTTTTCCTACAGGAGCACTGACTGCAGGAGCATTCCAGAGCTCACCTGTGAGGGTGGTGGCCTGAATGATGAGCAAGTGTGTTAAAGAGTACACCAAACCCTGAAATACTACAACTGAGAAATAAGGTGGCTGATTTTAATTAAACATCGCTAGCGGCTGGAATATCTCCCAAAGGAAGGGGTGGGACCACATTTTTCAGTGTCCTTGCACCAGTCTTGGGTGTCTTACTGGCAGAGTCATTATCATTAAGGCTTTTTGGGCTCCAGTTGTTTTAGCCAAGCCCAGCTAACTGGAATCAGTGAGAAAGGAAGTGTGTGTGGCCTGGGGTAGTAGAACAGACTAATTGAGTTGCTCGATTTGCACATCCCTCATTTCTCACCTGCCTCTCTTGCGTGGGAGTTGCTTTTTAGTGTCTTTTGGAAATCAGATGTAATTAAAGTTTGGCCTTCTGCCTAACTGCTGCGCTCTCTCACAAAGAGAGGGAAAATGCCTTTGAGACGAGTGTCTTTGAAAGAACCTGAGTTTAGCTCCCAGGTCTTGCTCTCTCATGTCCTCTGAAGGCAGCAACCTGCAAGTCAGCAGGGACAGGTGCTGGCTGGGAGCAGAGCCTGGCTCCCTTCCTCGCCCTGCCACTGACTCATTGCAGGTCCTCGGGCAAATCCTTTTGATTTAGGTACCAAACACAGATCTGGCTGTCTAATTTCTGTTATAACACTGGCCTTAAACTTGTGACTCACTGTGCCCATTGTGCCACAGAGATAATAACTTCCTCCCAGTGCTTGTCTATCCAGCCCCACCCCACGCCCAGGCTCCTGCGGAGGCAGTGGGGCAGGGGAGGCTGGATGGGCATGGTCCTGGCTCCCTGCAGCTTTCTGGCCTCCCAGACTCCCAGGAACAGATATTTTTCCCAGGTGCAGAAGTGCTTGGCACTGCAGATAGGTGATAGGGAGGTTCTCCCAAGGCCTGGAGGGGTGCTGGTGTTTGGAGAGATCAGGAGGCATCAGGGCAGAGATGTCTCTGGTTGCAGAGAGCTCTGAGTGCCGATGCCTTCCCAGGGTACCCCACATGGAGAGAGCCCTCCTGGCTCAGGGCAGGCTGCTCAGGGCTTGCTTTGAGCTCCCAATGAACCTGGGAGGCTTCAAGAGCAGGAGTCTGTGCACCTCACACAGGTGCTGGGCATTGCAAGGTCCGTGCTGGGATGTTCTGTGTCCTTGGAAATTTCCCAGTGGCCCCAGTCTGTGCCATCACCTCCTGATGAGCCTCTGACCCCCACCCAGAGCCAGTGCCAGCTGCTTTGCCAAGCACACCAAGCCTTCATTCCCTCTTCACTCCCCATTCCAGCAGGCAGAAGGACCAATGTGTCTGCAAGTGTTGTGTATCTGTGTCTGTTTACTGCAGTAGCTTCTATGGATGCTTTCAGGATCACCCAGAGAGTCAGAATTCCCTTGCAAGATTGAGAGACTACACAGATTGAGGATTTAACTTTATTGAGAGCAGAGGACAGAGCACAGAGCTTGTGCAGGGCTTATGCAAAAAAGCCACCAAGCTGAAAACATTGACTGACATAACACAACCTCTGAATTATAATCACACTGGTTCTTTATCTTGAGAAAAGTATAAATCAATAGAGAAGTAAAAAAGAGCAAAGAACAATCTCAGTAGACAGTCCCATGCAAGCAGGACACAAAACACAGACAAGGAGACCAAGAAAAAATGCATCTCTGCCTCCAAATAAATGGCATAAGGCTAAAAATATAAGTAGATGAATTAGAAAGCCCAGCTTTAAATTAAAGTTTTGACATAAACTTCTCAGAAACCCAGTTTAAAAGAAAAGCAAACAGTGGGACCCTGTAATTCCTAGATGAAATTACAGAGAGGGAAGCGTGTGTCTCTTATGGTAGAGACTGCACTGAGAGTGTCAAGTCCAGTGACGAGTGACACAAAAATCCCCAGCAGAAGGAGGCTGGCATTAGGGTTTATAACACTGTGTCAGCATAGGCTGCAAAGAGGAGCCTACATAGACAGGAGAGTGTTATGATAATATTGCTAAAATAAGCAGTCAAAAGATGGTTTTGGGCACAGGGATCATGCACAGCCCCAGAAAAGGGCTGGTCAAGCAGCAGGGCAGAGAGGGCTCTTGGAAACTGCTGTTCCAAAGCAAAGGTGTGGCTGGAGAAGGAAATCAGAACAGAGCTGGTTGCCAAGTGAAGTACAGAGCCATGGAGAGACAGTCCAGGGAATATTGCTGTGAACAGCTTGTGTGAAGCAGACTATTAATGCAAACGTTTTCTGCTGCATTGGGAGGGAGAAGGCTGCCTAGGGCTCTTCAGATCTAGGGAGTGCCACAAGTCTGAGGGATGTTCAGGGGCTGTAAGTGCAGAGCACTAGAGCAAACTGCCTTTATTGCATTAGTGATCACCAGGGGAGTGCTTAGGGAGGTTCTCACCTGGCACAGCTCCATTCAGGGCAGGGGGGCAGAATCCCTCCTGAATCAAATCACCAGTCTGAGCACTTCTGAAATGCAGTGGAGAGTAACAAATTGCCAGGGGTACAGATTACCCACTGGGCATCCTGCAGGGCTCCAGCACTCAGCTGATAAATCCTGAATGTGGACTGCAGTCTCTTATCCATGGAGGAAGACCGAGGAGGAAGAGCTGAGGGCAATATCAGCTGGAAATAGCTGAAGCCACAGAATGATGAGCCTGACTTTCCAGCCAAGCAAATTGTTAAAAATTCAAATACAGGGTCTGACTTGTAGGCACATGGCTGAATGTGAAAACCAGGGGAGGAGGCAACCCAATTTTTGCAGGGAGAGATAACACCTGACAGATCTTTTAGGGGAAGGAAGCTCTGAAAGGATAAAAGGGAAGGTGCTCCCACAGGTAAATAACTCACTGAAAAAGGAGACAAGAGTGCAGATCAGATTTAATGGAGGGGAATTACTCAGAGAGGAGAGAAGTGGAGTTCTGCAACTGTATGATCCTTCCAGCAAGCTCATAAATATCCTGAACAAGGAGAGGAGATAGCCAAGTGTATAACATATAAAATCCATCAGGATGTCAAGCATTAAAACTAGATACAGAGTGTTACAGGAGGATCTCCTGCTGCTGAGCTGTTGAGTGAGAGAGTGGATTAAATCCCCTGTAAGTAGCACAAAATGCCACACATGAGCAGAGCCACTTTTAAGTAAAAATCACAACATTATTGTTATCATTATTGTTGTTATCATTATCATTAGCTGGCTGGGAACTATGTGGAACAAGCAGAAAATGCCTTTATGCAGCTGTGTAAGCCTGTGATCTCACAGCTCCTGATCACCAAAAAGGGTGGAAAAAGAAAGGGAAATAATTTCTGCCCCCTTGGAAGCAGGGCAGAAATGTACCTGGTACAATCCCAGCCAGGTTTTTTTCTGAGAAAATAGAAAGAACAGTGAGACTTTCATGTGGGAAAAAGGTGATCAGCAGAGGATAGGGAAGAAAAGATATGAAATAAGGAGAGCAGAGGAGAAGGCAGACAAGAGAGTACTTAGAACAAAGTAATTGATGGCATCAAATGGAAACCAGAAGCTTTAAAACACCCAAAAGGCAACCCAAGGTGTGTAATAAAACCTGGTGCTGGTTGCCCCCGGGATGTAGATGCCAGAAGTAAAATGGTTTTGAGAGCCCAGATCAAGAGGTAGCAAATGCAGAGATGCAAATCTGCCCTCTGGCTCAGGAAGTTCCTAAACCAGGGCTTCCAGAAGCTGCTGGTGCTCCTGTGGGATGCAGCACCCTCCAGGTGTATGCTAACCTCACCCAGCTGCCAGGTGAGGCTGAATCTTGGTCCACAGCCCCTGGAGAAATTCCACTTGTGCAGGCAGTGCCATGCACTGGCATCCCAGGGAATAACGCTGTGGATGGCCCCAAAGAGCCTTGCATGATCTTGGAGTTTATGCCTCTTCCTTGAGCACCTCCATCCGCCCTTCTTGGTGGGCTTTGCATAAAGGTGGATACCTTACTCTTGTGTTGCCTGGAGAGACCACACCTGGGAGTCTTGTCCCTGGAGAGTCAATCCTGGAGCAATGCTGGTGGATCCTCCTAAGGGAAGACAGACAGCTGGCAGTGAATTCCAGCTGGATGGCTTCCTGAAGTGCCCTGCCACACCCGGGAAGCGTCCCAGAACAGCCACACTGCTCCAGCACAGGCTGATGAAATCTCTTCATTTCTCTCCCTGTGAAAGCTCACCTCCTGCAGTCCTCTCAATATCCTCCCCATCTCCTCCCTCCTGCTCATCCTGAGTCCCTTTTCCTGCCACATCTTTTAACCTTACTAGGGAGGGGGAAAGGGATGAGAGGGCAAAAAAAGACCACCCTTAAAACCCAACACCCAAAGAACATGATTTCTGTGGTGTATGATGGTGTGCTCCAGGTCGTTGCCCTGCCATGGCCAGTCCACCAGCCAAGGTTCTCTGACCTGTCCCAGTTTATGATTTTTTCTCAGCCCAAGCAGGAGACACTTATGCAGGCACAGCTTTCAGAAAATATTTTAGTAACGCTATTTGACACTGAAGGCATGTGAAGGCAGAGGACTTGAAGCTGGACTGTCTCTTTTTGGTTTGCACTAAGCTGGTCACAAGGAAAGTATGTGGAAATGGCTTACTCCACATACTTGTGACTCAAGGCACAAATGCAAGAGATGCCTAAACTCTGTCTTCAGGTACTGTGGCCATGCTTGCACATGTGTGTATGTGTATAACATCATGTGCATTCATTTTCCCACATTGATTTGCTACACTTTTCCAAGCAGAATCTCATTTGTTTGTTTTCTTCCCACATATTTAATTTTCAAGGCTCTGCTCCTACAGCTGGAGCAGATATATAGGTGATATATAACCAACAAGAATTTGTTGTGACTGTTCTGAAAAGCTGTTTTGAATTGCCCTCAATGAATCTCTAAGAGGGCATTTCTTTCCTTTGATCTCAGAAACATTCAGGAAAAGGGAGATAGGAAAAATAATGCCTGTGTGCCTTTGCTGGGCTATGCTGACCTTGTCTAAGAGTTCTGGGCAGGCTTGAGAGACATCTGGGAAGGGACTGTGGTGTGTGTGACAACAGGCAGTGAGTCAGAGAGAAAGGGGCTGTCTGGAGCAGTGACTTGGGTGCACCTTTTTAGGCAGCCCTTTTGTTGGATGTTTCCAAGTAAACTGCTCAGCACCTGCCTATCAATTCTCCAGGCAGAAGGGGCTGGCAAGAGCCTGGGCCTGGGCTGGGCTCAGAAGCAATTTGTGCAACCTCTCGCACACTGTGGAACATGTGTCATTCCTGTCTTGCACCACTGCTCTCTGCTCTTACTGCCTGGAGTTTCTGTTGCCCCCTGGCTCTATGAGATATGAATTGGTGTTATTTTCTGTTCCTAATAATTTTTGAATCAGCAGTACAGATTTTCACAAAGAGCAAACATAAAAAAAGCCTCAAAAGCAAACACCTAGCAGTGATGTGAATGCTTGGATGCCCTTAGCCTGCCTTAGCTCTGAAATATATAAGGGGCAGCTTGATGTCTTAAGATTTTATTGTACTTCACCTTAGAGGAATAAACTGGCTGGGAGGTGGCCAGAAAATTCCCTCTGAAAAACTGAGAGAAACTTCCTAGAATCATGCAATATTCTGAATTGGAAGAGACCCACAAGGATCATCCAGTGCAGTCCCTGGCCCTGCCCAGGACACTACAACAATCCCAGCCTGTGCATCCCTGGGAGCATTGTTCAAACACTCCTGCTGTGGCAGCCTCGGGGCTGGGACCATTCCCTGGGGAGCCTGTTTCAGTGGCTTAGTAGCTTTTTTAGTAGCTTCCACTTAGTGGTTTTTCCTGCAGCATCTGTTTTCTGGATTGCAGGGTCAAGGTCCCAGCCACTGCAGAGCCTGGGAATGTTCAGCCAGGTGTAGCTGACACTTTTCTTTCTCCTTTTCTTTGAATGCAGAATCTGAAGAGGAGGTCCAGGATGTCCATGAACACTCAGTTTAATAAAACACTGGCCTGTTTGCTCGCTGGGAGTTGGAGTGGACACAGATGTTGATGGAGCTGCTCACATGTGGCTTTGCCCAGCCCTGCCCTGCTGAGACACAGACTGGCAAGAGCAACGGGCCACTCATGGTCTCCTGCCATGTCCCCACGGCCCCAGGGTGACACAGACAGAGCTGCTCCCTGGGCTGTCTGCTCTGGAGGCACAGCAGCCCCTCCTCATCCGTGGCACCGCTCCGAGCTGGGCAGGGCTCCCAGGGAGAGCTCACCGAGTGAGTGCAAGCTGCTATTTTGGCGTCTTCATGCCACAGAAGGTTTTGCTAAACACTGCAAAAATAAACAAGCCTTCAGGACCAAAAGCTGCAGAAATTACTTTCTGTGGCCTGGTAGCTCCTGACTTCATTTCCTCACTTAGGTCAAAAGCCAGATTTCTTCAATTAACTTTTCCATGCTTATTTCAGACACAGGAACAAGCTATTCTCCATCTCACCGCTCACAGGGCTGCCCTGCAAGGTGCTGCTTCTGACTTCAGTGGAAACCAAGAGCTCTCATCACTTTTGGTCACCTCAATGTCCCTCAGCTGACACCATCTCGGCCACTGACTGTTTGCCAGCAGCAGGAGAGGGGAAGACACAGGGATGTCAGCATTTCTGGGAAGGAGCTGGGTCAGACTCTTTCCATTGCAAAGAATCCACCCTCTCATCTGGCAATGTGAACAAAGTCTCTCACTCACCCCCTAACTCCTCCACCTACCCTCAAATAGCTGTCATGGCCTGTTAAGAGCATATTTCAAACATATCTTAGATGTTCCCATCACAGGAGTCATACAAAATCCTGGAGTTCATGTGGTTCCTGCTTCTCTCCTTCCTCTCCTTGCCCCAAGACACAGCAAAAATTCCCAGGAAAAGCCTCCATAGCAGATGCAGAGCAGAGCCCTATCCATCACCCAGCCTTAACTTCATATTCTGAGACTCCTGAAATCCTTCAAAAGGATTTTTCTGTCTTTTCCAACATTTTGATGATGCAGGGATAAAACTTGAGAAGTCATCAGGCTCTAGTTTATTATGTTACCCCTCCCCCCCATTTATGAATATTTTGGGTTTTTCTGAATATCACTAGTTCTTATTTCCTGCATCTCATAATTTGCAGACATTCATGCAAAATGAAACCTGCCAAATTCAAAATATACAGAACCCATGCAGCTTTCAAACAGCAGAGAATTCCTGTCAGGTTCATTGCACTAAATGATCAGTCAGGCCAGATTCCCTTGTGAAGTGCACGTGTCTGTGGCACCAAGTGCTTCCAAGCACAAGGAAGCATTGGTGAGGGTACAACACTGGAGCTAAAGATAACTCTTAACAATGTGAAACTTGATGTAGGGACAGACTTTCCCATCTGCTCAGTAAAGCTTCCCATGTCTTCCTTTGAAGCAGCAGCTTCTCAAGAGAGTGCTCTGGTGATGCAGTCCCAGTTCAGGATAATCCTCTGCCTCCCTTTGTTGGTGGGAAAGGTTTTTACAGGGTTTGCTGCCCTTAATCCTCGAAAAAGGCATCTTTGTCCCAGCTGCTAATCAGTCCCTGACAGTCAAGTGATCAGCCAATAGCACTGTTTTAAACCCAACATTATTCCCTTGTAGAGCTCATTCCTTGTCTCCTTGTGACCAGGGCCCTGTGGAACCTTTCAGTCTAGGGAAGAGCTGAATTTCCTTCATCAAAGAACCCAGCAGAATTACATTCAGACCTTTTCAGGCTCTTGTTTGTCCTACAGCACAAGCAGAAGACACAAGTTCTGAATTCTCCTGTACAGGGAAGTCAGTCTTAAACTAGAGGAAAAATCCAGGAGTGGCTCTGGATTCACCCCATTTGGCTTCTTGTGCTCCTGGTCTGTGGCTTGTCTGAACCAGCTCCCTGTAGCCTTGACCATTCTGGAGGGCTCAGAGGCTTAACAGAGGGGGAAGGTCTTGAAGTCAGGGTGCTCCCACTGCTTTTTTTAGGAGTCAGGAAGGCAGAGAGCGTCCAGGGATGCATTTCTCTGCTCAAAAGAACAAGTGCAGTTCTAAAGTCCTCTCTTTCCCTCCTTATCCCTAACAGAAGAGGAGATTCCTGAATTTGTGAGCCAAAAGCTTCTTTGGGAAAGCTGCGCCCTCTCCACTCCCCACTGCAGTATTACCAGGCTGCCAGGGCAGCGCCTGCTTCCAGGGTCTCCCTTGCCCGACCTTCTGCTGCTGTTCCTGTTCCCATGGGAAATGCTGGAGTGCAGGTCTGCCTCCGTGGGGCTCAGGGGAGGAGAGGGAGGAACTGTCTGGGAACTTGGGTTTGAAAGATCCTCTCCAGCAGATGTGTGGCTGTCCTTGGCTGCCTGGAAGGGAAGAAGCAGTAGCTGAGAAAATAGGGAATGGTTCCTCACAGTTCTTTACCTCTTGCTTCTGGGTGGTGCTTTTGAGAGCTGTGGGCTCCACCGTGGAGTTTCTCCAGCATTCCTGCAGTGATGCAGAGCTTATTTTCCTTCTTTGCATCCCAAGTCACAGCCAAAAACTGATGGAAGGCAGAGCATCCCAAACTCCCTCTATGGAAACTGAAGGCCCAGTCTTTCTGCTGGGACCCCCTTCCCAAAAGGTCCCACCCCTGAGCTGGGCGTATGGTCGGGCTGGCTGGATATCTCCCCTCCTGCACAAATCCTTCAGATCCTTTGGAAATGTGAATATCGGTTCATTTTGTTGTTGCTTTTTGTTTCGTTTGGGGTTTTTTTTTTGCTGAGTCTATCTTGGCTCTCGGGGTTTGGGAATAAATTATGACCCAGAAAAAAAAAAAAAAAGACCACACACGGGGAAAAAAATTACATTTTATATATGCAAAACTGTATTTATGTCCGATAAACACAAAGATGTGTGAATATGCTGATGTGCTCAGAAATATATTTATTTACTAATATATTTATCCATGTACTGGTCTGCTGCCTGCGTTTGTTCTTTGTGCGTGGGGCTGCGCTCGGGCCCGGCCCGGCCGTGACAGAAACCCCGGCCGGGCCCGAGGCGGATCCAGCGCCGGGGCGAGCTCGGAGCCGCTCCCGTTCCCGTTCCCGTTCCGGGGCGGGGCCGGGGCCGGGGCCGGGGCCGCTGCGCAGCCGCAGAAGGGGACCGGGCCGCGATGGCCGCGATCTCGCTGGAGACCGTCCCCAAGGACCTGCGGCACCTGCGGGCCTGCCTGCTCTGCTCCCTCGTCAAGGTGGGACCGGGAAGGGGACAGGGACAGGGGCCGGCACAGGGATTGCTCCCCGCCGGCTCCGGACCTTCCTCTGCCCGGCTTAAGCCTTGCAGCCCCTACTGGGCCCCTTTTCCCGGCCCCGGCACTCCCGGTCCCAGCCCCGCCACGTCGGCTCCGGCCCCGGCTCTTCCCTGCGCCGGCTCTGTTTCCTCTCGGCCCCGGCCCGAATCTTTCTGCCCTTCTCAGCCCTTTCCATGCCTGGTCTGTCCCTGCTTGTCCCGGCCCAGGCCCCCCTCCCCGGCCTGGACCTTCCTGGTGCTTCCCCCGTCTGGTCTGGCGCTCCTTGTCCCGGCCCGGCCTCCCCGCTCCTGCCCCGGCCCTTCCCCGCCCGGGCCTCTCCGCAGCCCCGGTGCGATTCCCGTCCGCCCCGGCCGTGGCCCTGAGCCCTCCTTCCCGGCGTTCCCTCCCTTTCCCCGGCCCCGTCGCTACCCGGCTCCCGGCTAGTCCCGGTCTCCGACACCCGTGTTCCCTTAGACCATCGACCAGTTCGAGTATGATGGCTGTGACAACTGCGAGACGTATCTGCAGATGAAGGGCAACCGCGAGATGGTCTATGACTGCACCAGCTCCTCCTTTGATGGGTGAGTGGGGCTGGGCCCGGCCGCGGTCCCCCGGCAGCCTGGGGACACCCAGGTGGCACTGTGGGTCACCCAGCCAGGAGACATCCCCTTACTGCCATCCCTCCTGCAGGATCATCACCATGATGAGCCCTGAGGACAGCTGGGTCTCCAAGTGGCAGCGGATCAGTGAGTAATTTGGGAGCTGGAGATCCCTTCTCTACAAACCCTTCTCAGGGGCAGTGGGAACTGCTGCTTGGGGTGGAACTTGGGTTTGGGAACTTGGGCTCTTGGAACTGCTGGAAGGAGTTCTGCCCTCCCTGTAAGGGGACATCTGCACAGGTTGAGGATTCCCACGTGGCTGCTCCATGTGGGGTAACTTGGGGTTTTATTTCCTGCAGGTACCTTCAAGCCAGGTGTCTATGCAGTGTCTGTGACCGGCCGCCTGCCCCAAGGTACCTGTGTGGTGGAGTCAGGCTTTGGGGCTCTGAACACTGCATTAGGGAACATGCCATGTGGGTGATGGGATCAGCAAAGGTGACTGCAAGGAGGTGCTGGACTAGAGAGGGAGTTTTAGAGTTCAGCACTGTACCTGCCAGAAGTTTATATTGTAAACTGCTGACTAAATCCTGGCTATCAGAGGCATCAACTGGGATTAATTAGTGATTCTGGGAAGTGGGCATGTCTCAAACCATTGAGCTCCAGGATAACATGGAGTTTTGTTTATAGAAAAGGGTTTTGCAGAATGGGGTGCTGTTGTGGCAATCCCAATGAGCAGACCCCTCCTCCTGCACTAAGGGCTTATGCCATAGTGGATTTGTGTGTTTACAAATGGAGCAGAGAGTGCAGAGGATTTGCTTCATCTCTGGAATGCATCCATCCATCCAGCTGAGTTCCTGCCCAATATGTAGTCCCAGAGTAGATCCTAACCCAGGGGTGAATCCCAAACCCCTGGGGTGGAAGCTATGCCTGTGTCTGACTGGGGTCTGCGTTGGGAAGGAGCTGGAAACATCATGAGGCCGGGAGCTGAGGCCTCCTGACACAGCCCAGGCACATCTGAAATACCCAGGGTCAGGGTTTAAATGGGATACCAGGGAAAGGTTTTTCCCCAGAGGATGGTGGGGCACTGCACAGGCTCCCCAGGGATGGTCCCAGCCCTAAGGCTGGCAGAGCTCCAGAAGCATTTGCACACTGCTCCCAGGCATGGACAGGGTGGGATTGTTGGGGTGTCTGTGCAGGGCCAGGGACCGGACTCCCATGATCCTTACCCCTCTTCCAACTCAGGATATTCCATGATTCTGTGAAATGAAGGTTATTGTCCAGTTCTACATGACAGAACCACCAGATGTTCCCAGGGCTCCTCATTCCAGGAGAAGACTGAGATGTGTTTGTCTCCTTGCTGCAGGGATCGTCCGGGAGCTGAAGAGCCGTGGCGTGGCCTACAAGTCTCGGGACACAGCCATAAAAACCTGAAGGGCCCTTGTGCTGCCTGGAGATCCCTGGAGTGCTGCATGGAAGAAGCAGTGGGCACTGCTCCAAAACCTCTGAGCTTTATCCTGTAGGGAAGTGGGGCTGGACTTGGGGTGTGCTGGCTCAGCTCCCCTCGCTCAGTCCCTCCAGACTCCTCCACACCACAGACCACAGACATTTATCTGAGCCTTGACAGGGGGGAGGGTGTGAGTAGAGCTGGGAAAAGATGTTTAATCATTATGCCCAAGCTTTTTTACAGTTGTTGTGGGAAAGAGGGGATTTGGGAAATAGCTGTGTAAATAGTTCAATAAAACCCACTGGCTGGCCAGGGCTGGGTCCAGCTGTCGCTCTGTCACTGGTTTCACCCTGTGATTGTCACTGCTTGTGCCACGGGCCACATTCCTGCCTTGGGAGTGAGATCCTGCCCTGGCTGCACGAGGTGTCCTTCCACGTGGGAAACCTGCAGCTGCCAGCTGGATGGAGCAGATGGTGATGGCCAAGCTTCCTGTGGAGCTGCTTACATGGAGGTCATGGAGCCCTGGGCCTGCAGGTCCTGTACAAGGGACAGGTGGCAGGATGGAGCTCCCGGACATCCACTGGCTGTTGCTGGGCTCCAGGGCAGGCAGAGCAGGACGAGCCCATTGTTGGTGTGGTTGGGAGACAGCACCAGGCCGTGCACACAGGCGGGGTGGACAAGCAAGGGTGGAACACCCACCCAGCCTATTCTGCAGATCTGACTGTTACAAGTGCCAGCTTAGTGTCTGTAACACTTGCATTCCTGAGGGATTTGGCCTTCTTGAATTACTTTGTTTCACCTGTGCAGCACCCACTGATTTAGAAGGGCCGAGTCCTCAATCAGTAGCCCTGTGAAATAAGATTTTTTTTTCCCATGAGATAATCCTGGACCTGGAAAGCTCAAGTTTTGTTTTGTGGAGACAAGCAATGGAAAACCAGTAGAGCCTGAAAATTACACTTGGTCTGGGATGAGAGCAGCTGCAGCACAGGGAATGCAGGACTGGCTGAGAGTCACACTGCCAGGCGTGCAGAGGTGATGCCCTCCCTGCACTGCTCTAGTCTGTAGAGCTGGCCATGAGAAATGAGTCCTAGGTGCCCCAGGTCAGACAGAGCATGGCCTGTAGAGATCTGGAGCAGAAATGTGGTGAGAGAAGCCTGGAGAACAAGGAAGCTGGAGGGGAAGGTGCCTTCGGCCACCTTTTGCATGGGCCCTTGCAGATGTGGTGCTGAAATAATGAGTATTTGCTCAATGCAGACCAGGGTCAAGTCAAGTCCTTGCTGGGCTCTGAGCTCCAGCAAACGTCTCCAGGTGCAGGTCACTGTGGAAAGAGGTGAGAGCACATCAGCCCCTGGTGTGGGGGTTGGACTCCTCTTGGGTACAAGGAGCAGCAGGTTCAGTTCTGCAGTCAGAAGGGGAGCTGATCATGACTTTTGCACATCTCTGGTGAAATCAAATCCCTTGAGCTGACTGGTGAATCATCCTTCAGGCTTGCTGGGTTGCACTCTGGGCAGAAGATGGACCTTGGGAATTCCCAGCAGACCAGTGGGACAAGAGGTGTGACTGTCCCAGCAGCCCAGGGCCTGCCTCTGCAGGATGCTCGGGTTCAGGCACTCTGGGTGGGCATGCACCTCTGGGCTCTGAAGGGCAATTTTGACCCAGCTGTGCCATGAGTGGCACAGGGTAGCCTGGGATGCCCCCAGATGCATTCATCCCCTGTGGAACGGTCTGGGAAAGCTGCAGCCCTGGGCTGCCTGGACAGCCTGACACATTCAGGATGGAAGGGGGCAAGGAGGATGAGGAGGGTGGCTGTTTCTCCAGCTGGCTGGAAACGGGTTTGGGGAGCAAGAGTTTGGCTCCAGCCAGGCTGGGAGGATGCTGGATGACAGGTCCATCCCCCTGCCATGCCCAGCCCGGGGAGCCTCACGCTGGCAGTGCCACGGGGTGGCAGCACGGCCTTGTGCTGGGGCTGGGGAGCTGCTGGAGACCGACTGAGGCACAAGCTCCATTTTCTGCTGTTTCACAGCACATTTCAATCCAACTGCCTTCCCCTGGCTGCAGGGAATGGCCATGCTGGAGCCACATCAGGACCCAAGACCCTTGTCCCCTGGCCCATGATGCAGAGGAGGTGACGAGAGGGCCCTGCACAGGACCCTGAGCGGGATGGGCTTGTTTGGCCGGGGTTGCTGTGGGGCTGAGGCTCTGTGGTTCTCATCTCCCTTCCTGGGAAGTTGCAGTCACTGCTCAGGGCTGGGAACTTTGCTTAAGGAAACTGTCCCCATGGAGTAGTGTGCACTGTCACTGTGCCTCTCGGGGAGACTGAAGGGGTTTGGGAACCCTGCAGAGACTTCACCCCTTGCTAGAAGTCCAAGTGCTCCAGGATATGTGGAGGTTAAGATTGGCCGGAGCTGCAGTGCAGATGCAAAGGAGCTACCCCAGTGAGGAAAATGAAGGTGGTGGTCCTTGAAAGCTGCACCTCCTGTGCCTGTAGCGCTTCCAGAACGCGGTGCCTCTCACCAGGCTGCCCCCGAGCCCGTTCCCTGCGAGTTCCCACGCCGGGCCCGGTGATCCTTCACTCCTGCAAGGCTCCCAGCAGAGCCCTTCAGTGAGAGTCCAGCCCCGGAGCTGCCTGGGGTATGTGCGAGCAAAAAAGCAAACGATGCGGAGCTTTATTGGCTGCAAAAAGTAGGGCAGGGAGCTCTCACGTTGAAGAAACTGGAGGAAAAATGTGCAGCAGCAGCCGGA